TTTCAACTAGTTGTGGGTAAGTGTAATTTACAGCATTTTCTTCAAGAACAGGTTTGGTATATTGTGTGTTATTAAGTATTGGAAAATATTTTGAAGGAATGGATATTAATAGATAAAATCCATAACCAGATTAATGTAGAATGAAGTGGTCAGATAGAGGTTCTGGTTCATTTGATAAGTGTATTAAGCACTTACTATAGTCTAGTTTAATCGATATTGCTAGTGTAAAGTTGTAAAGATTAAGTGATATGTAGTTGTAAAAATGTATGTGTTCAAGAAAGGAGTAAAGAGTTTGTGGATATAGAAGTAAAGGTAGTCCTTAATGGGCTAGCCATTTATTATAACATGAGTCTGGATCAACTAATATATTGTATGACAAGTCTTGTGATGTTTCCTTGAAGTATGATGATGCAATGAGATTCAAGGAGGTAGAAGGTTCCTTTGTAGATTCGATTACCATATGCTTGGCTCTTATAGCTGTGAAGAATGCTATAGCATGACTTTATAATATGCACAAATATGCATATATATAAAAAAATATATTGTTTAGAAAAAAAAAAATCAATATTGAAAATTATACAAGAATCAGTTTATACTAAAATATATTTTTTTTACTTTTTTAATAATTTATAATTATTTTTTTATATTTATTTTTATATTTAAAACTAATATTATTTGTATTCAAATTTGTTTTAAATTTTATTTTTAATTTTGATTAATTATAAATTATTAAATTATTAATAGCTAATAATATTATTATTGTTGTTATACTAATTATTAGTTGGCATTTATAACTATATAGTTTAATATGATAATAAGTATTATGAATAAATGATTTTTCTGATATTATTTATTAATATTATTAAAATAAGTTTAGACTTAAATATTTTATATCTTTATTTTTAAACTTTTTTTAGCTTATAATTTTATATTTAATTGATAAGTCTTCCAAATAAAAAAATAATAAATAGGCTGACAATAATAATATTATATATATTTTTTTCACTTTAAAGTAACAATCTTGTCTGTATATCTTTATTAGATAATATATGATTATATTATTATATACAAAATCTATTAATAAGACTACAATTAGCTATATGTACAACTTTAGTTATTGTTTATTTAAAGGTTCTACTCACAGGTTACCTGCTAATTGTTATACCCAGAACTTACCTGTAAGTTCTTTATTTAAAGTCTTTGATTTTTAATACTATTGTGTATATATACAATCTAACATTATTATTGTAATAACATATTAAGGCTAGGGCTATCTGGTTACTATTTATAGAGGTTATTTAAAGCCTAGCATCTTATAAAATCACTCAAAGGTTGGGAAATCATGGAACACAAATTATCACAGCTCTTTAAAAAAATAAAATAAAATTTACTTTAATAACTATTAATGTTACACATCTAATTCAACATCTGGTTAAATTAGTTGCATAATATTAACAATTCCTTCTTTTACTTTGATCACTAAACATGATACTTTTTTATTTTTTTTACTGGTTTTCTTAATGGGCTTCTTTTTTTTCTCTGATATTCTGATATTTGAAGTTTATAAGTATGCCAAAATATAGATTTCAAGTACACTTTCATGGTTTTGATAATCTTTCATTTAAAACTTATCTTTCTTTCAGATCTAAGATTTGAACTTGAATAAAAACTAAATTGATAAGTATTTTTTGTTTTTATTTATTTATTTATTTGTTTGTTTTAACAGATACTAATATCTTTCTTGCTTTTTTGTAGACTTTGGTTTTTTTAGAATGTGAAAGTAGACTGGCAATGGAGTTTTAAACTGTGGCAGAAAATAAGAACTATGATCAAATATATGTATTAACTTCTCATTTATTTATTTATTTCTAACTTTTCTTGACAGATATTAATATCTTCTTTTTTTTTATAGATTTTGGCTTCGTTAAAATACAAAACTAAACTAGCAATAGAGCTTTGAACTTTGGTGAAAAATAAGAACTATGACTGAAGGTAGTACTAATTTCTTTTTTTTTCTATTAATTCTATTTTTTTTTAGCAGATAATAATTATTTTTTGCTTATAGGCTTTGATCTTATTAGAATATAAAAAAACTAGCAATGGGTTTTAAACTTTAACAGGTATTAATTCACATTAGTCAACTAAAATCTTAACTTGGTTTGGAACTGAGAACAGAACCAAAGGTAAGTATTAAAATATTTTTTGGAAAGTTGTTACTTATTAATTCTTTTTAGCATGTACTAATGTTTTTGTATCTAGTCTAGAGTTGTAAAATTACTGTAATTTTGTGTAAGCTTTTGGTAAGATGGTTTTTATGTAATTCATAAGAAATGTGATTATGATTAGTTGAATTATATACAAATTAATTTGATTAGTAAAATTATTCAAAATCTATTATAGCTTAACAATACTAGCTAAGTTTTTCATAGTGCTGGTACTTTATATCATGTGTAAAATTTATGTGAAATTCATGTTACTGAAACTTATACAAAATTACATGTAATGTAAAATTGTAAAATGTAATTTTCAGCCCTAGGTAAAATATAGAATTGTGTTAAGATTTGAAAAATGTGTCATTTCTTCTTTTTTCTGCTTAATTACTGCAACTTATACTTTATTATATAGTTACTATGATGTATAATTTTATGTTGGAATAGATAATGTTAAGTTGAATTAAAACTTGTATCAGATTAAAACAACTATAATGCCACTAATATCTACTTATCCTTACTCTAATATATTAGGTGTTTCAAAAGTTCAACTACTGGTTCTTATTTTTTTTTATAAGATTACAACAATTATTAATGCCAATATAAATAGAAGATTATTAAAAAAATAGAAACTAGTAGTAAAACACCCAGTGTAGCTTTTACTCTAATTCTATATTTAAATTCTGATCTGATGCAACTTTAATTTGTCATAGTTATATAATATTTTTTATTTTAATAAAATAAGTTTATGCATTTACAAAGAATATATTTATCTTCTATTTATTTCAAATAAAATCTAAAGAATTGTTTAAATATTTAATAAATTTTGATTTTTTTTTGGGCTCCCTTCATCTTCTATTTTTCAGTATATATTTCAGATTCTTTCTATTAGTTCACATCTTTTCAAGAGTTGTTTAAAGTTTAACATCTTACAAAATTACCCACAATATAGAAATTTATAAGAGATATAGTGATTCTAATTTTTTTTCAGTATCTATGGCATGTTTTTATTTTTTAAAAAAATTTTATTCTTTTTTTTTTTAAAAAAAAATCTCTTTATTTTAAAGGAATTTCTTTCTTTTATTTTTTTAAAGGAATCTCTTTTTTTTTAAATACTCTTTTTCTTTGTAATTGTGTCAGTTATATACAAACAATAAAAAATTAAAACTTTTTTTTTTACTATGTATTGTTACTGAATCAAAATATATCATTGAAAGCACTTTTAAAAATACTACTGCTGTATTACTATTGTTTAGTAAGCAGAGCACATTCATTGTATTGTAGTTTTGTAGTTAGATTGTAACAATAATATAGATTACTAAATTATTATTTTGTGATTTTTTTTTTTTATAATAATATAGTTTTTTTTTTAATATAATTGATAACTTTATTAAAAGAGAAGGCAATGTGTTTGAGAAAGTTGATAAAAGTAAAGTTTTAGTAGAAAATGAAAAGACTGTGTTAAAGAAAAATGGCATAGTTGTGTTAGATGATAGTGAAGAAGATGAAAAGACATAAGCAATATTTGCAGCAAATAAAAATCCATAGCACATAAAGAAATTAAAGTTTATACATCACAATCTACAACTTCTGATCAAAGGTGAGTGCTTCTCTTCAATATTGATGAACTATTCAAAGTATCAATAGATGAATTTGATTGTGAATAATAGCTGCTTGTTACAAATATGTGGACAAGGTTTAGTTATAAAAATCATACCAATAGTAATTCTTGAAAGAAATTTGCATGCTGATTAATAAAGCATAATAATTCAAGTAGTCAAATGGATGGAATTTCTATCAAAAAATATTGAAAAACAAAGGTCTGTCTACCCAATCTCTGTTCTGCAAAATTTTGGATGCTACATTTTGTTAATACACAAAAAGTGCAAGTAAAATGAAGATCTAATCATACACATATGCTTGATGAAAGTGAAAGACTAAAATGTTCAGAAGCAGTATGAAAATTAGTTGTGAATAAAGTGACCAAAAACTATCCACCACATATCATTACAAGTGCAGATAAAGATTATATGACTAGAATGTTGAACCTGGACTCAAGTGTTAAGGAGCTAAAACATGCTGAGATTACAAACATTAAATACAATGTTTATGAGATTCAAAATAACTATTTAGAAGGTAATAAACATAAAGAATCTGATATAAAATAAAGTATTCTTTTTTTAAAAAACTAGGGCTATCATGTTGAACATTATGTAACCTCTAGTTAGTCTACTTATAGCCTGGTTTTTGTACATCCTCTTCAACTTGTCAAACCTAAACAATATGAATCATTAACTCTTATTAATTTAATGAATAAAACTAACAAGTATGATTGCTACCTGTTTATCTTGTACATTCAAGATTTGTATAGCTGTTAGGATGTTGGTACTTACTTTTTTGTTGATAAAGAAAATAGTAATACAGTTTCAGATATTTTGAAAATTTTAAAACAATTTGAAAGCTATTGAAAGCTGTAATATATTCTAGCTAATTAAAGCTATGTTAAAACTAATAGCATTATGAAAGCATTTTCTAGTCTCTAATATAGTAAGCAAGAATGTACAGTAATTTTTTGTATGCTTTATATAATGTGAGTATAGATGAATAAAATATATAAAACAAAGGCCTGAGCTAAAATAATTCAAGAAATGCAAAAAACTGCAAAAATTACAAAAAACAGATGCAATGAGCTTATTAAAGAGACAATTGAGTTATAACATGTTGCCAGTATAAAAAATTATATCAAAAAAAATTATCAAAAGAATTCAAATAAATGGGTTTTATGGGCTCAACAGCATTCACTACTTTTATAGCAAGTAACTTTGATAAATGTCCTGAAATCATATTATAGTAAGTTAAAAGCAACAATATCATTAAGTCATAGCATAATAAGTTAATATAAAAACTGTTCTAGTTAGATCTGGCAGCCTTATTTTTTATTTTTATTTATTTTATATTAATTTTTTTTTAAAAAAAAATTATCTAGAATTTTTTATTTTATTTTATTTTATTTTTTTTTTCTTCTTTGATTTGTTCTGCTAAGATTTTTCTATATGTCCTTCATATTCTGAGCTATTGTTCTTTATATTCACATTTTCCTGAATTTCGATCTTTCTCAGTCTGTACTTTTAAATTTTTCAAGAGTAACAGTTGTACTGATCCTTGCTAGAACCAAAAGGCTTTACCAAGCTTTATCAAGAATCAACTATTGAAATGAGTTCATATAGTATCTCTTATTGTCAGACTTTTAGCTTCACATTACATCTCATGACTTCAGTTATTCCAAATCAGGCTTTAACTCATGTCCATCATCATGTAGCTTCTCAATTGTAGGTTATTTGCTATTTTCAAAAATAAGTCCATCTGTAGACATCCCAAATTCTTGGTTCTGCAGTGTTGCAGTTTTCTATTTTTGGAAATGTATCTCTACAATTGCCATCACTAGGATTTGAACAGATAACTTCACAATTTGTGACCTCTAAGCATAACCATTATGCTATCAATCCTAAAGATCTTTTTTTTTAAAATAAAAATCATTTTTGTAAAAAAAAATTTTTGTAAGATTAAATTTATTGTTTATTAAATCATTGATGTAAAAATAAAAATTTAAGTGTTATTTGTTCTATTTATATTAGGTGCATGTTATAAAACTGTCACCTTAGATATAAAAAAATGCACTGACTCAGAACATGTAACTTTCAAATTCATAATTAAATGAATTTCAGTTGTCAGTATTGATGATAAAATTTTTGGTCAAATTTACAAGTTTTCATTTTCAATCTAACAATTAATCATTGCTGAAGTTTATGCTATTAAAAAAAGAATAGAAAGAGATAAAAAATTGACTGGTTTAACTTCACCAAACTGTTTTTACCTGTTCTTTTATCAGTACTTACTTTCTTGCTAACATATATTTCATGAACATGTGTATGGTAATAATAAACTATTAACTTTAAATATGTAGAAGCAATTTCAAAATATGTTTGAAGAAAATAGTTTTAAAATATATATGCATTGTGATTTAGTAGAAATAAAATTGTCTAGAAAGACTGAGGCTGAGAAAGCTGCTAAAAATAGACATTCAGTTGTCAATAAATAAATAAAAAGAATCCGAAATGCATACTAGAAAATAGAAGATAAAAGGGCCCAGAAGAAAAATCAAAATTTATTAAAGATTTAAACAATTTTTTAAATTTTATTTTAAATAAATAAAAGATAAATATATTCTTTGTAAACACAAACTTATTCTATTAAAATAAAAATTATTATATGCAGAGTTTTGTTAAAATTAGGGTAAAACCCTATACCCGGTGTTTCAAAAGTTCTATTATTGGTTTTTACTTTTTCAATGACCTTATATATATATTTGCATTAATAATTATTATAATCTTAAAAAAAATAGAAACCAGTAGGAGAACTTTTGAAACATCTGGTATGTTAGGATAAGCAAGTTTTAATTCAGCTCAATATTGTTTACTTTAACATAAAATTATATATTATAATAACTATATAATTATGTTATAAAGTATAAGTTGTAGTAATTAAGCAGAAAAAAAATAAACCAGTTCTCAAATCTTAACACAATTTATCTAAGCTAAATGCAAAAAACATTAGCATATGCTAAAAAAGAATTAAAAAAAAACAACACAAAAAAAAAAATTTTAATACTTATCTCTGATTCTGTTCTCAATTTCAAACCAAGTCAAGATTTTGGTTGACCAATGTGAATTAATACCCACCACATTTTAGAACCTTATTGCCAGTTTTTTTACATTCCAATAAGATAAAGATCAAAGTCTATAAGAAAAAAAATATATTATCTGCCAAAGAATGAATAGAAAAAAAAAAGAGAATTAGTAATTATCTTCAGCCATAGTTTTTATTTTTTACCAAAGTTCAAAACTCTATTACTAATTTATTTTTGTATTTTAATAAAGCCAAATCTACAAAAAAAAGATATTAATATCTGCCAAGGAAAGATAGAAATAAATAAATAAATTAATACATATCTTTGGCCATAGTTCTTACTTTCTATTACAGTTTAGAACTTCATTGTTAGTCTACTTTTGCATTCTAAAAAAATCAAAGCCTACAAAAAACAAGGAAGAGATTAGTGTCTGCCAAAATAAATAAATAAAAGAAATAAAACCAAAAATACTTATCAATTTAGTTCTTGCTCAATTCCAAATCTTAGATCTAAGAGAAGTTTTAAATGAAATATTATCAAAACCATGAAAATGTACTTGAAATCTATATTCAATAAATTTATAAACTTCAAATATCAAACCAGTAAAAAAAAAATAAAAAAGTATTGTGTTTAGTAATCAAAGTAAAGAAACCATTAATGTTATACAACTAATTTAATCAGGTATTGAATTAGACATATAATATTAATAGTTATCAAAGTAGATTCTACATTATTTTTTCAAAAGGCCAAGATAATTTGTGTTTCATAATTTTTCAATTTTGAATAATTTCATGAAGTGTCAGGCTTTAAATAACCCCTATTTATATCAAGATACCATGCTAGTAGATGTTACTAAGTATTTATAGCTCTCAATTCACCCTCGATGCAAGCTTACTAAGCTGATAACAAGATTATCACTTAGATCCAATTTAGTATACTCCTATCTACTAAACTGGTTTTAATGCCAGAGGTGTTTGAATTTTAGTAAATCCATTTCTTTTTTGTAGTTTCCTTTTATGTTTACTGTATTATCTACTAGTATATCTTTCTCTATTTCTGGTATGTCTACTGCTTATATCACATCAAGCACCAATCCTTCATATTGGAAAACTTCTTTTTGAAAACTTTCTTATAACTTATTTTCTATTTACATAAACTTAGCCACAGGGCTTTGTGTACATTCATATATTTCTGTAAATTACAGAGTTTTGTCTCTAGCTAGAATTGAACTATTAATCTTGTCTGTAAAAGAAAGAGTGCCTAGACTACTAGGCTACAGGACCTCATTCTATAGTATTATATATTTAAATTATTAAATAAATATTTTTATTTTAATTTTTATTAATATTATATAAATTTATTATATTAAATTTATTAATACTATAGTGCAGAAAATCTATACTCAATGATTACATGAAGTGTTTCAATTTTTTAAATAGTTATACCTTTTTATCTAAAAGATTTTAAAAAAATCTGACTAGTAATTTTATAGAGCTATATTAGCTCTATATATGTGCCAAACATCTTTTCAAAATCTCATTACTGTAAGAAGTTGATTTATTTTGAAATTGAAATTTTATATATAAATTTATAAATTTATATATAAAATTTCAATTTTTAAAATACATTAACTCTTTACAGTAATGAGATTTTGAAAAGATATTTGGCACATATATAGAGCTAATATAGCTCTATAAAATTACTAGTCAGATTTTTTTAAAATCTCTTAGATAAAAAAGTATAACTATTTAAAAAATTGAAACACTTCATGTAATCATTGAGTATAGATTTTCTGCACTATATTAATTTTATAATAAAATATTATTACTAA